AGACCGGCCCAGGTCTCAAAAAGGTTGCCTGTCCCTGATTTAAGGGATATTTGCCTATACTTGTTTAGTGGAAATTAGCTCAAAAGGCCATTCAGAAGACAGTTCAGGGTTTTGTTATAAGTTAGTTTGATTATTGTGAAAGTGGGCACTGAATATTTTATCTTTTTAAAAAGCTTAGGAAAAAAAAGAAGAAATGCTATGCCCAGCTCTCATCTCTCACTTTCAGGTTCAGAACCTCTAGCCTTCTTGATATATTACATACAGCAAATTAACTACAGTATTGTATCTATGTCACATTGCATCCAAAGGAACTTATTTCTGAATAAATAAATAGGATAGTGCTGGAAATTATATTAAACCCTCTGTGAAGCTCTAAAGAAGCTGTTTTTTTCCTCAGTGACTATTCAGTGCAGACATTGAGAGCTTATATATATGCTGGAAACTTCACCCCTTCCTGATTCTCAGCCAGACCTTGATCTGGGCTGATGCCTACATGAGTTTCCCTCCTCCTTCTGAGTAGACTCATATGTAACTGATTGGGCATATCACCACCAGAATGAAGATCAAGCTCTCACTCACCATACAACATCTAGGCATCTAACATCTCCAGTTGTTTTTCTTTTATTTGGTTTGTAATATCTTGCCTGATGAAGAAGCCCATGGAGCTTCAAAAGCTTGCAACAAGTATATTGTGCATTTTGGTTGGCCAGTAAAAGTATCACTGATGGATTTTTGTTTGCATCTTCATTTTGGTGAGCCTGGGAGCCCAAGGGAGTGAACGTCCAAGAGCATGCCCTGAAACCAGGCAATGTGGAAAGATTGTCCTAAATGTCATAATTCAGTGTCTCCTCAGAATCTCTGACAGTGCAGACATCTTTTGGAAGGTTTTGCTTCCCCTATTTCTTGTCTCAGAAGACTACATGTTCAAGGGATGGACATGGAGCCTATTTAAAAAAAAATAGCAACTAAGAATTTTGTGATTCCAGAAAGTGGAGAGGTTGTTTGTTAAAGTTAGGTACATTGTCCAAATTAATGTCTGAATGTTCCTAACTGTAATCTGTAAATGGAAAACACAATGCAGATATTTTCCCACTTAGTTGGAGAAATTTAGAATAATTTAAAAGATAATACTGATATTAATGTATATAATTGTTTTTCAGGGGTATAGTGGAATGTGATTACTAAGTACAATAATATGCTAAACCAAATGTTTGGTCTGCTTTGTGTTAACTATATTGTATAGATGACATGGTTATATTGGTTGGGGATAACTTTCCTTTTGATTCCTTTTGATTCTTCATACTCAGAGTTCAAAAACATTGCACATTTTTCTTGGCTAACCTGTTTAACTTTAAATTGTGGTATAAATCAGTCAATAACTTTCTGATTTTATTATCCTAATGATTATTATTATTATTATTTTTAGCCTGGCTTGTTCTTAGCAATTAGAAAGAAATTTGAATGTTGTTGAATGTGATTTATTCACCCAAGCACTCTGTGAAATTCAGTGTTATTTAAAAAATGAGTACATTTATGTTCGTCTCTCACTTTGTGGCATGTGTGATATGTAATCCCTGATTCTACCCCCACAAGGAATGGAGGGTCATTAGGCTAGAAAGTTTAGTCTGTCAACGTTAAATGTTGCAAGTGAACTTAAAAAAATAAAACTAAACTAAACTATCTATGTGTATTTTGGGCATTTGGCAGACTTCTCTTATGCTGAGAGTTAGAGGAAAAATACAGAAACTGTAGGCAGAAGGCTCTTGGGCAGAAGTTATGTACCAAGTTAGCAGTATACAAAAGAAATAAATGGTTTTGAGTGTATGCCTAAATACAGTAACTAGTTTATTTCGTTTGCTTAAAATATTAGTATCCCACCCTATTTCCAAGCAGTTTAGAACAATTTAAAATATTAAGAACAATTTTAAAAAGTTAAACCAATACCGTTTAAAATCAGTTAAACAGTTTCGAAGGCCATCATGGTGTAGTGGTTTGAGCTATGATGCTGGAGACCTGGGTTCAAATCTTGGCTAGGCCATGTAAACTGGGTGACCTTGGGCAAACACCTTCCAAAGAAACCTGCCAAGAAAACTCCACAAGAGAGTTGCCATAAGTTGGAAATGACTTGTAGTCACCTAAACAACATAGTTTAGGACAGTTTAATTCATGCAGATGTTCAGATTTGGATGAAATCAACTTGGCCTTTGGTGAAAAACCATGTTTCTACTTGGTGCAAGAATGACACCAGTGTTTATACCATTTGGCCTCTAAGAGGGGGCTATTCCACAATTGTGGTGGTGTAGAATAAGCTTTCTCCCATATCCTTTCATGGAGTATTACCACCACTGGTGTGACACAAAGAAAGGTTCCTCAAGTAGACCGCAGTCCTCTGATAGGCATACATAGGGAGAGACACTCCTTCAGATATTGTGGTCCCAAACCACTTAAGGCTTTAAATGTTATCAGCTGCCATTTCGTATTACAGTATGTGATTTTGGTCAGCTCCTGAATTTTGCAAGTTTGAGCACCCTTCAAAGGTGCCACATACAAAGTGTGTTGCATTAGTCTAATTGAAAAGTTATTAGTGCATGGGCAGGTAGCTGGTTGTCTATCAACACCTCAGGGCCTCAGGTATAGCTGCATAGAGAAAGAGACTAGGAAAAGATAAAGGCTTTAGGAAGAGCAGAACGAGGGGGCAAGTTCAGAGGAAACATACTGGGAACTGTAGGTGCTCTTACAGCAGGCTTCTGTGGCAGTCTCAACCCCAAGCTGTAAAGTGTTTTCCTGGCAGAAAACTGAGAAGATTGGGAACCAGCAAAGATGGCAAACCAAGAGGAATTCGCCAGCACTTCTTTCTGTAACCAAGGCAAGATCAAGCAGAGGAATTCCAGGTGTCCAAGAGACAATTTGACAGGAGCTGGGTTGGATAATAAGGAAACTGTCTCCTCTGAGACAGTTGCAAGCCCCTTAAGACCAGAGCAGCTATATCAGGGAGCAGCTCCCTGCTAGGTGACTTAAACCTAATACCACACCAGTGCCTAGCCTTGGCTTCATGTCCTGCAACCACTGATATCTCAGATGTGTTGGATCCAGGAACAACTTACTAAGATAAAAAGTTGACCCCAGGGGACCTACTTCACCAGCAGGGCTGTGGTTCTGTGACAATGTGCCCCATTTGGGTGCCAGACCTAGGAAGCATATCCTGGCCAAGGAGAGTGGGCTCCAGTGTTACCTCCTTCTGTCCAGGGGTCAGATCCTGAATGGCCTTACCTTTTCTTGTTGTCCAGTCAGATTAACAATAATCATTGGCTCCGGCAGCAGTCCAGTTGGCATTGTTGTCACAGCACGGGTTATTACTTGGAGGTGGAAACTCTTGATATATGAATGGAAGACCAGGGTGCTCAAACAGGGTAAAGCCAGTTACCTTTGTGCTTCTTGG